TCTTCCTCTTCCCGTCTTGAGGCAAGCACTGCAGCAATTCGATGTCGATGAGTCAAATTACGAGATCATGGATCGGGTATTGTGGTACAAAGCTGCAACTGCAGATCGGACGAGGACAATGCTTCAACTGCAACAGTCTTTCACCGCTCCTCTCCATCGATCGCGGAAGGCAACCTGGTCCTCCGACGACAAGCTTCTCAAGGCACGGTCATGGATCCGTGCAAACACGGCTACCCCACAAGCACTCTACAACGCAAATCTGGCTCACGAGAAGTTCAAGGATCTCGGCGAGACTATACTTGTCAACGTCGTAGGTGATCTCGTGGACAAGCAGCATATCAGGATGCGCAAGCTCAAGCGTCTCTTGCCCGGCCGTAACTACAACTTCACGCAAGCTCTAGCGAAGAAGTATACACGCCTGTTCCAGCTCGACGACTTCATGAACGCCGTGGCAGTTAAGAAAAAGATGGATGCTGCGTTTGCCGACGAGGATGTAGGGTTCTATAACATGTCGCGTTGCGAAGACGACGGTGCCTTTGCGGCTATTATGACTATGTTGAACGAGGGTATCGTCAAGCTTGTACCTCAGCTACCGCCTGTCAACAGCGACTTTGACGCCGCACTTCCGAAACTGTCTAAGTGGGGCTTCTGCGAAGGCGGTTATAACCACCGCGCGATTGACCGTGCTCGGTTGTTCTGGGACATCCACGTTGTGCCGACAGCGAGCTATAAGTTCGGCAACCCACTACAGCCGTTGACGACGCCCCCGTCACCCATGAATGATGCCGAACCTACGATTTGGTCAGCCTTGCCCGAGCCGCCTCTGCCTGGCAAAAACGATGCCGGCGCGCTACTACCCATTTGGAGCAGTATCGACGGCCAATCCGTGACGTGGCCGTGGTGGTACCGGGTCTTGAATTTGGTGCTACAACCTTTGATTTTCTTGGCTGGTGCGACTGCTACCGACATCCACTCTCATTGTCCTGAACATACTACCGAGCTCTTCGAGGTAGAACATGTTCTAGACTGGCTCCAGTCTGTCAATGCAGTCAAGAAGACGATTGGTGGCGGCTACATTACCCTGCCAGGTTTCTGGGCTGCATTTGGCGACCATCTGCGCGACACGGAAGGTGACTGGTTTGGCGAGCATGTCAAGCGCAAGGCAAAGAACCACGAGAAGCAGCGATGGCGCGTCGATTACAACTTGAGGCTCTCGACACTACAGGCGCGCAAGGCCGTAGGTACTGACGCGACTCCTGTTGACGAAGAAGGCGCTGCGAGTGTTCAGGATGTCGGCCCTCTGGAGACAAGTACTAGTCGCGAGATCCTCAAGAACCCGAAACAACAGTACCGGATCATGCACCGCGCCCTGAACTCTGAAAAGTCTCATGCAGAGGAGAACGGATCGAATCCTAGACCCGCTTCCCGCTCTGCGACTCCACAAATTGGGCAAGAGCCCGTTTCAGACCCGGCGGCAAGCGGCACACACACTCCCGCGGCAATCAACATGCCAAGTGAGGACGTGGAGATGGTGGATGCTGACGTGGACGCTGAAGGAGAGGAGGACATTGACGCCGAAGGAGAGATTGATGATGACATGTATTGAACATGCACGTACGCAACGGGTGGTGGATGATGCATATGAGGCGGTGTGGGTGGGCGGTGAAGTTGTTTTTTTCCAAAAGTTTGTCCTTTTTACATGCATAGCGAGGCGCGTACTGTGGGATGATACCACGATCTGAGAAGAGAGGCGTCAATGCCAAAGATTCTGTACAACAGTCGGAAACGTATGAGTAATGCGCGATGCGATAGTAGCAATAAGTCTTCGCAAAGATGTTTCCAAATGTGCAATGTAACGATGCGCAGCGCGAAATGTTTGATGGCTGGTCATGCAATGTTCCTGGCCTTCGGCGGGCAGGTGCTTCGATGGTGAGGAGCGTTGCAGCTGCAGCCGCCATCGCACTTACCCGCGCGTGCAAACTTCAAAGCGCGATCGAAGAGACAAACACCATCACCGCCTCGGAGAACACCGCATAGCCGTCAAGCTGAAGTCAAATACCGTTGAACCGTCTTTATGTGGTTTTTCTTTCTCTAACCCAAGACGTCCGTTCCTGTTGGGCGTTCATCCGCAAGCCCAGCAGGAACGACCGCCTTCGTATATACTTGACTCTATCTTGCTCTTCGTATATACGCACAAGCGCAATCTCTTGTAACACCCTTCGCTCAGCCCTGGTATGCTGCTCGGTCTTGATCGACATGTACTTCTATACATAGCAGACCGGGGTTATTCCACCGTAGGATCTCGTGCATTGCGAACCTCCTCTCTGGTATGCAAACTTCTCTCATCTAACGAGGTTTTGGCAACGTGCTCACTACTCTTAGGATGAACAACGACTGCTTACTCGACTCGCACTTGTCCCAACTATGCCGACCCGAATCATTGCCGCATCCACAAAAGACGGTCGGCTGGTCAACTCGACGACGCGAGAACACCGAAGGACTTTCTCACCAGGCGGGGGTGGAGCGGAAAACAGAATGCCCAATATGCATTTCGGTGGACTGTCTGTTTTGTATTGCCGCATGACCACGACCTTTTCTTTCCTCTCCCAAACCGTCCATGACGGACGTGCGACACAGGTGGCAACGATCTCGTATATGACCAAAACCAGAAGAACCTTACGTGCTCGTCCCCTGGTTGCAGCTACATGTTGTAAGTTCCATTGGGCTCTGAGTAACTCATGTTGCTAACTGATGGTAGATATATACCTACACCTTTGCAGCCATGTGGAGCTTTGGCTGCGCCTGGCCGTTTGACGTCAAGTCATTGCCGTCTTTGCGAGTCGACTCCTTGCTATATATACGCAATACGCATGGACACAGAGAGACCTGGGAAGATGCAATAATCGCATCAAAGCCAGCTTGCCTTGTCATGAGATTCCTGGTCGCGATCGGCAGAAGAGGATCACAACCCAGCTGCCGATAACGAGTGACAAAGAAGATAATACGCCCTTCGCTCAGACTGGGGATTGGTCGTGGTTCAGGCGAGCGGTGGCTGACGACAGCTCATGCTGAGAAGGATGACTCCGGAAACTAGGCGAGGAGAAAGAAAACGTCACCTGGACCTCTCGCGCAAGATGGACTACTGTGAGCCACGAACTTGTCGCATGCGCCTCAAGCTACGAATCCCGGCAGGACATACCAAAGCCACCCACTATTGACCATATACCGGAATGAAGAGGACTTGAAGTGTGTTCTTGCTCTAACTCTAGGAGACACCGGTATCCATATATCGACAACATGGCTCGAACGCTCCAATCGCAAGCCCAAAGGCAACGCTATCCGCGGTCGAGATTTCGTGCGTTCACTACGGATTCCGATCATGATTATACATACGGACACTTCATCTATATATATTTTAACGCGCCTGTTGTGCAGAGAGCGCATGCCACCGTCAACGCGAAATTCAACCTATAAACGGAGAAGTCAACCAAACGATATATAATTTTGTTCAGGCTGATTCTGGCTTGGGCAGTTTTCTTCATCACCATTGTAACAGTGTGGCGGTGGGTGTCCTCGCAAAGCCTCACATGCACATCTGCTTAGATTCTGTGCAGCCCTTCGTACATCTCGAAGAAAAGAGCAGGAATTACTTATATACACGAGCAGACCCCTGCTTCGATGTCATCCCCGGTCCGGAAGCATGACAGAAAGAGAAAGCTGGAACCCACGGAACCATTGCCAGAGGTCTTCGATGGCAGACGTATGGACTACTGTGTCCGAAGCCGAGCTTTCGCAGTTGCACATACGGACACTTCATCTATATACAGCCCAATGATCCAGTCGCGCTGGAGTTTCGACTTGGTCACTCTGGAGATCATTCATACCAGTCTGGAGGATATCGCGGTATGGCTCAGGCCTTCGTGTACCAAAGCGCTCATGGATGGACCAAGATCAACGCGGCCTCAAATGTGTGAACGGAGAGATTGATCAAAGAATATATATTCGAAGAATAAGAATAGGAATTGCTTATATATGTGATAGTGGAGGCCACACCCTGGTGCAGAAAGCAGAAGTGGAACAGACAACGCACCACTAGATCGCCTAATGTTGTGCGCTTTGCCTGACGTTAATGCCCTGCGCAACTTGTTTGCTTCGATATACCTGGCATGAACTCAGCATGGAGAAGATCGTGCAACATTAATCACCGCTACCACGAGCACCCGAACGCCGAAGTGGGCCGAGGACGCGACCTCGGGATGCTTCCAAAGAAGACTGGGACTTAGAGCGGAGAAACGACAATGAAGACCTAGATGGTGACGGACGTGGAGGCCATTTGTTCCATCAAAGTTATATCAAACTGCCCCTATGACCACGAAGAATCCGCGAGCAACGAAGAGAGCCGGTGACATTGTTCTGGCATACCTCGGATATGAAGTAACAATATATACAGAGAGACTGGGCGCCTTTATTGAGCTGCCAGATGCCAGTCCATCGAATTTCGACGACGAATATGCAGATGATGGTAGCATGTCGGCTTCGGATTACGAACGTAGGCGAAGTCTACTGGTAATACGGATTGTGGAGAAATCCAGAATTCCATCGAAAAGGCCCTCGGGCAAGCTATTACGGATAAAGCAACAAGTAAAATACCTATCATTCCATCCGTGTTGTGAGAAGGCGCATGTTGTCGTCATAGTCACATATAGTTCACGCTAAATTAGCGTCTATTGCGTGACGCGTCCAGGGGTACCAAACTTCTATCTACTCACCCAGCCTCCCAATTCTCATTACCGTTAGCTGCATCGTGAGACACTGCATACGATTATTCGCGCCCAAATCGATCACCATCAGTGCACATGAGTCGATAGAAGTAATCCTGCTTCCATGGAACGAGCACATAGCGCCACTCTCACAATTCATCGAGTAAGCCCTGTCATAGGTCATGCGTACGTTTGTCTATTAGACCACAGACTATTTACATAAACAGCTTGCGCTTCGCATCAGCCACGGCTCTTGATGATGCTCGCAGCCTTCTCGCCGACAGCATACATCGTCGATTGGATGTGCTGGGAGGGAATAAGTGGGAGGATGGAAGCATCGACGATGGACAGTTTCTGGACGCCATAGAAGAGAAGCTCGTCAGACACACAACCACCCATATCCTCAGGTAACATAGCACAGCTGCCAGAAGGGTGCGAAAGCGTCGGCCAAACGCTTCCCTGCTCAATCATCTTGTTGATGATCTCATCATCAGTCGTGTACTGGGCTCCCGGTGTCGTCTCGACTGGGGTGTACTTTGCCAGTTCTGGGCCCGCCCAAACCTTACGGATATAACGGACGCACGCAGCAAGGACGGCTTTGTCGATGGGGTTGCTGAGTGCATTGTAGAAGATCTGTGGTGGTCCTTGAGGGTTGGTTGCGTTGATCATGATGGTTCCACGAGAAACCGGTTTCTCCAAGCCGACGAGCATGTAGCCACCTGAGGATGGGACAGGGTACTCTACTACGGCGGCCTTTTCGTTTTGGAAGATGTCAGCGAGGACTTTGCGCTGTGCTGCTACACCCTTGAGCAGCTTCGCATTGTTCTTGTAGATCGATGGCAAATGCGCGTCATTCTCCTGGGCAAGCACCCGTTCCGCGATACTGTCGTAGTTTTCGGGATCCACTACCGGAAGCGGCATCATGGCTAGACTGTTGCCACGAGCCTGAGTCAGCGGTCCAGTTTTGTTGGCACGGTACTCTTCCCACGCTGAAGCATTATACGCCGGGTCTGTGGTCAAGGAAAACCCGTTCGGGGTGCTGCCACCGGTGACATTCCACCCAACGCCAGTATACGGATGGTCTTGGAAATTCGAACCCACGCCGTCATGTTCAAACTTTACGGTGATGCCAGCAGCCTCGAGTGCGGCTTTTGGTCCGATGCCGCTGTTCTGGAGAAGCTTTGGTGTGTTTACGGCACCCTGGAATCAAAAATATCAAGTCAGTATATGCGCAATTCTGCAGGCAGCTTGACATTCTACTTACCGCAGCTAAAATGACCTCTTGCTTCGCATAATAGGTCTTTGTTGAGCCAGTCTTCTTGTCGGTGATCTTTACGCCCTTCGCCGTGAGGGTTTTGTTGCCGTCGAACACGAGTTCAGTCGCGAGAGACTCCAGTATGACCTTCAAGTTCGACCGGCTCATGATGGGATCGTAGTACGAGTTACGGGCGTGCGTTCTTTCACCAGTCCTGGGGTTCATGGTATTGGGATACCATGAAGTACCATATGCCTCGCCGTTGTTTCCATCGCGAGCGGCATGCGCGTTACCGGTGCCTTCGAAGGCGTCGAAAAAGTCAGTGATGTCGGAGTATAGTGTGTCAGTGACGCCGATCTTCAATGGACCTTTTCCGTAGCTGGACGTTACTACGTTAAAAGCTGCTCACACGGGCAATGTTTCGCAGACTTACGCCTCGGGGTCCCAAGTAACACCGACTTGATCAATGGTCTCCTGTGGAGCTGGGATGTATTCTGTTCCCATCTTGAAAAACGGATAGATCCCCTCCCATCCCCAACCCTTGTTGCCCAACGCCTCCCAGGCATCGTAATCTGCTGCTGATCCGCGATCATATATCATCCCGTTGACGAGAGACCCGCCTCCGAGAATTCGCGCGACACGAGTGTTCCATGTCTTGTTCCCGAGGAATGGTTCTGGCTGGCACACGTAGTCTGTCCACAGAAGAGAGGTATTTAGAGCATATGTGGCGCCATAAGGCATGCGGATGTTTGGGTTGTCGTCTGCTCTTCCGGCTTCGATGACAAGTACGGATTCTGTACGACCATCATGTCAGCTTTGTGTAACTCCAGATTGGTTGGTCAGTCTCACTGTTTTTGTCCTCGGTCAGACGATTGGCCACGACGAGACCGGTCACACCCCCTCCAACAATAACATAGTCGTAAGTTTCCTGGGCGGCTGACAGCCCCAGCAAAGCAACGACGGCTAAGTTCCTAGGGTAAAGCATCCTGGCGAGCTGCTTCGAGGCAATACCACAAGAAGAGATTGACTTTAACGAGGGTGGAATATGCCGGGAGAGGAAGAAGGGTAGCTCTTGAGCTCTTAAACTCTCCACAAAGCCCCATGTTAGCTCTTAGCATTTTTGCGGTACCTGAGCGTGCATGAGTTGTATGGATACACGAGTCGGTACACCGTTGTGGCTAAGGTCGGCAACAAAGCTCCGATACAGTTAGCAGTGAGCAGTAGATCTGGCCAAAGGGTCTCAAATTCAGGCGGCATACCAGGTCCTTGCAATTGCATGGCGCAAGATGGAAGATTGATAGAAACAGCATGGCCCCGAGATTAGGCGATCTTGGCTAGACGGCTCGGCATTGTCCCGCATTCAGGAAGTCACCCCACCCACACCAACGCCGCTCCCCTGCCTAACTCTGATTCTTTGGTACTGGAGGACACCTTTGAGCGCAGACGATCCTAGTAAGTTTTGCTGACCGCTCTAGGTTCTCGTTTGCCTTTCCAGGCTCTTGACGAGCAGGATTGATCTTCTTGTAACGTCTTTACGCTTTTACCGACTTCCGAGCAGCTGTGAAATGTTGAAGCTGGAAGCAGCATTGTGGCAACCCCCAATATACCGGCAGCAGGAGCAGGGTCGTGGTTTACACATATTGCGGCGCCACTGCTGCCAAGTCGGAAGGGTCCACCGTTGTGGACCGCCGGCTCTACGAGAACTTCTTTCACCCGTTACGCCCTGTGTCAATTTTATATGTGAGGGGTCTCTAGCATCTTCCTCATCAAATGCCAACAGCTGTCAGCACACAATTTTAACCGGCTGGTTGATGCAGGTCACGAATCCTCTTTCGCCTGTTGGGCAGTCAGCATCGTCGCGGGATGGGACGGGACGGCGGGACCTTAATTGGCTCACCAGCCGACGCCCCGAGCCTCGCTTGCACGCTTGCACGCTCGCGAAGTCTACGATGTCGAGGCATCCAACGAACGACAAGGGCTGTGTTCTGACCCTGGAGCACATGACAAGAATTGGTTGGCCGAAGCATGCCAAGGTGGCGTAAAACCACGCTTCAAGGTACAAACATGAAGTGGAGCCACACGTACAGCGCGATACAGCACGCAAGAGGTGTATTTACATCACTGCAGCTTTGTGGAACCGTCTTTGCGAACTGGTCTTTCCAGCTCTTGGGGCCATCACACCGACCTTGCAGCCTTTCCAGCTTTCGCTTACACCCGATGGAGTGACGAAGCCCAAGAGATGACAGCCACACGGGCACGGATCATACCCAGTTCTGTGGCTCTTAGCATGCATAGCTATCACATTTATTTGCAACGTGCGCCTCGAAGGATTTCAAGATAACAGACCAATCCATGCGTCCCAACACGATCGTATCCAGACTCGTGTCTTGTTGGGTTGGTATAGTCAGCATTAGGGCTGATGGTTGGATGGTAGGCCAGCAGCAAGCAACTGACTTCAAGTATGCTGGTGCTTACTATATCTTGGAGCGCATGCTGATACCATCATGTCTGTTGTGTGTAGAGGTCTCATTCCCATCATCACAACCTCAAGCCTGAGCCTCCTACATAGATAATGAGAGGGAATTAGTGATGCCGCACAAGCGCATGAATAGTATAGTCTTTACGACATCTTGGCACGAGACTGAAGACTGCGGAGAAGCTGGAAGCGGAGAGCGGAATAGCCGCTGGGGTTTCCTGCTACTGATGGCAGATGATGAAACGCCATGCTCGCGTGAGCTATTCCGAAGAGATCCCCAGCCGATAAGATGAACGGGGCGTTCCAGCGGCCCTCCCGAGATTCTGGGGTACCCAATAGGTTCACATGGGCGAACGGCTGGAATAAAGAGTGCTGTCTTGCGCACGTTGCTAATTGATATCGCTTCTCCCTCCCTTCGGGTTCGCACTGCATTTACGCAATATCAGATCTGCAATGGCACCAACCGAGCAGCAGGAATGGCCAAACCGCGCGCCCGTCTTCCTAATTCCCTCGACTATCTTGTGCATATTGAGTACTGCGGTACTCGTATGGCGACTTGTGTATAGTATCAGGGCTAAGCGGAAGCTTGTACTACACGATTACCTTCTCATCGTTGCAGCAGTTCGTCAGACCAGTGGCTTTATCAAGAAGGCAAGATTGTGCTGACTAGTCTGGGCCCAGATGCTAAACGTCGCAACATCGGGTATCCGCTTCAAAACATGTCAGCATGGCCTGGGTCGTCATATTCGGGATCCTAGCATCAGGCTGCCCTACGATATGCCGAAGTACAGCTACTACCTCTGGATCACACAGATCTTAAACCTTATTGCCGTCGCAACGCTAAAGTACTCGATTTGTGGCTACCTTCTAGTCCTTAAATTCTCGAGAGTGTACCTTGCGGTGGTGTGGGCTTCAATACTGATGGTCACTACGTTCAATCTACTATTGCCCATCATGGGCTGCTTTTGCAGCACACCGTTTGAAGCAAATTGGAATAAGTCCATCAAAGGCAAGTGCTTCATAAAGACTAGCTCGCCTCTCACGTACAGTCAGGTCAGTCCTCCCTATATTTGCTTTGCTGATGTAACCAGCTGATGACAAAACAGGGAGTTGCCAACTGTGTCACTGACGTGATATACGTCGTCGCACCCATCATATACTTGTCCACCATCCAGTTACCAAGGCGTACGCAATGGGGTCTGCGCATCGTCTTCTGTCTTGGCCTTGTGTAAGTACCCTCCGGGATTTGCATTGACATCAGCTGAGCCAGCCATCAGTGCAACCGCTTGTTCAGTTGCAAAGACCGTTGAGCTTTCCGCGTTGACGAAGACAGCCGATCCAACATGGGACGGTGTCAACCTCGCCATCTGGTCCGCATCGGAACTCTCGGTCGGTATACTTGTCGCGTCTCTACCCGCACTCCGAAAGCAATTCGACAGCTTCTTCAGCCGCGTTCTCTCGTCGACCTTTCTGGGAATGGGATCCAAGACGGGGTCTGGTAGCAAAGGCATACCACTGTATAACGTCGGACCACCCCTTACCGTCGGCAGTCGACCAACGGGAGGCCGTTCGCGATTTCAAAGAGACGACCTCGATGATGGAGATAGTGAGAAGTGCATACTGGACGATTCAGAGCTGCCTGGAAAGCGCGAAATAACGAGAACGATCGTACATGAGATACGTAGTGACAACAGGAGCAGCGTGCAGGTCCCAGATCGGGTACACAACATGTACAGCCAGCTTCAGTGAGCCTCTTAGGCTTAGCTGTCTCTTCGTAGCGTTTCAAGAGTATCCATTGTTGAGTAATCGGAAAATTGTCGCTAATGCGCGCGGGTTCCGTGGCAGTATGGCAATAGTTTGAGTAACCTCGCGAAGGAGTAAGATTATGGCCGAAATTCGAAGGACAGATCCAGGTGGATGTTACGCTGCGGTGTGGACGATCTTCACATCGCGCAGTGCAGCACACGATTCAAGGAGATGTCGATATCCATGACGTCATCCACGGCGACCTCGGGGTCCCGACCGTCGTGTTCTTGCCCACATCGGACAGCGAGGAGGTGCGAGGAGAGCGCTTAAACATACCCTTGTGTGTGTTAAGATATGCACGTAACGACATAAGTGGTAACGCAGCCTTGTTCCGAACAGCGTTGGTATACCGAGAAACCGAGAGGCCGTTAGCGCGTGCCGCGGACGCCGAGGAGGCAACCCGCGATTTCTTTTGGCGAACATTAGATAAAGCAACTCGATATCGCATACAGAGAAGGAAAAATACCTTCAATACATTCACATCAACTCAGAGTACTCCAGCCATATTCCACAATTTACCATGACTTCTCCCGTTCTTGTTTTCGGCCCGACTGGAGCAGTAGGCAGCGCCGCTGCCAATGAAGCACACAGGCGTGGTGCCAAGGTATACCTCGCCATGCGCGACACGAAGAAGCCATTGAAAGGCATTCAGGAAGAGGGAAACAGTGACAGCTTTGTCCGCGTCCAAGCTGATCTGGCCAAGCCCGAGACCATCAAGACCGCGGTCAAGACCTCTGGTGCCAAGACAGCCTTCGTATACGTCGTACACGAGGTCGAAGACGGCATGCGAAGCAGTTTCGAAGCGCTCAAGGAGGCCGGTGTAACCTACATTGTCCTCTTGTCTTCGTTCAAGGTCGAAGATCCTCTGGACTCAGAAGCCAACAAGACGGATATGATTGGCGCTCTCCACTCCGCAGCTGAAAGCGCATTGCGAGAGACTGGC